GGCCACCGGCGGTTCTACGATGGACATCCGGCGGTTCTGAGCATCGGTAATACCGACGGTTAGACCGTCGGCTATCGCCGGTAAAGTAACCAGCGGTACACCAGCGAAGGCCGACGGTTTTAAAAACAAACGACGGCCAACTAAACCGCTGGAGTACCGTCGGTAAAAAGACCGCCGGTAGGCCGTCGGTCAAATAACCGGCGGCGTCACCGCCGGAAAACCGCCGGCAACATAAACCACCGGTAAAGAATCGCCGGTAATAGTTTCCTACGCGGTTTTTTCCGGCGGCGCAAAAACCGCCTTAAAGCCGCCGGTAGTCAAAAAAACCGCCGGTTAATATAGGCTAACCGCCGGAAAAAACCGCCGGATTTCGACGTTTTTCATGTAGTGGACGATCTTCTGCTCGTCATCGGATTTCTACCCTATGTCAGACTTCTGCCCGTCACTGAACTTCTGTTAATCCCCAAATTTTTGTATATCACCGAATTTCTACTCGACCACCAATTGACACCAGATTTCTAGCTAGCTACCAACTAACGTCGGACTACTACGTGACCTCCAAATAATGTTGAACTTCTATGCGACTACCATCTTACGTTAGACTTCTGCTCGACCACCAACTAATGCTGGTTTTTCTGCCTGACCACCAATTAGCACCGGACTTTTGCAAGGCCTTCAATTGATGCCGGACCTCCATCGCCCTCGAACAATGATTTTTCTGACAATTATCATCCTCTAATTATGGTCCTTACAACCTCTGTTGTTCCGACCTCCGTCTCCCACCGACTACGATCATTCTGACCTCCATTGCCCGCCGACTACAGTAGGCTACAATCCTTTTGACTTCCATCACTAGACAATGATCCTTCTGACCTCCGTCGCCCTGACCTCTATCGCTCGCCGACTACGATTCTTCCAACCTTCACCGACAGAAAATGGTCTTTTCGACCTCTGTCGTCATCGACTATGGTCCTTCCAACCATACGAACACATCAATAATGATTCTTTGTATTCCCATAATGTAATGTACTCCATATGATGTACATCAAACCAAGGCATTTCAGCCAAGGAAGGGCCTCATTTGTAATCGACTGCAAATAATAGTGGATTCATTCAAACTGGGCCAAGCCCCGTGGTTTTTTCCCTTTTTAGAGTTTTTCACGTAAAAAAATTTGTCTCTTGTTAATGATGCATCCTCTCTTTTTATCTGATTGCATGATGGATCTTCGTACAAAGCTAATACATTAAATATTTTTATATTTATCTACCACCGTGAATACTCCATGATGCAGCAATAATCATTATTTTGTTAACTTTTGGTCCATTCAATAGTCATATTTCATCAAATTTCTTGAAAAGCATTTGATTATAAGATCAAAGTTATAGCTAATTATAAAAAATAAATGAACAAAAATTTAAGTTTTAATCACATTACAAATAATATGTGATTATAGCTCAAGATGTTCTTGCACATTTATCTTGGTATTATTAAATTTACAAAATCAATGTGACATTATATAGTTCTAATTTCCAAAAATATTATAATTAACCATCACAATGAGTTGTGACATAACTAGGATTTTAAGTTACATTAGGTATTTTCCCCATTGATGTAATTATTGCAATGCCTAGGAACATTTTGGATACATTTTGCTAATTTTACTACACACACCCACACACACACTCCACCACCACAGAGAGGCCTTAATTATAGATTTTCCTCATGTTTTAAATATTTTGTTAATTATACAGTTCTCTCATCTAACTCATAATAGGGTGATAATATTTCTGGGTGATATCCATAATTCTTGAACCAATCTAAATATTTTTAGGAAAGATATTCTAAGCTGAAACTCTCTAACTACTGCTTCTTCTTGAACTAGCTACAAGAATTATACATAGATCTTATGCTTCTCTTTATGAGCTAAACAACATCATCATCTATAAAGGATGTTGTCTAAGAAACTTTCTTAATATTCTGAGCTTGAATTAGAAAGTCACATAATTATATACTTATGCCACTTAAGTCAAAGAAAAAATAAATTTATAACTCACTATTCTAAACACAATTAAGTCCAAATAATAGAGTAGAAGAAGAAAAAAACTTTGGTATAAGAGTAGAACTGAGGGAGGTAACATGACCTTTATAGGGACAACAAAAGAAAATAAAGTGTTATATGATGGGATGCATATGATAGGCCATATTCCTGTTCAAAGAAGTTTAGGTTCCTTAGCAACGATTTAAACCACTACAATCATAGGATGTTGTTAATGCATTTGGGCTAATAACAAACTCCAATCAATTCGTTCTAGTTCATTGTTTGATAGAAATTATACTCCATTGATATGCTTAAAATTTTTAAGAATATATTTACATACTATCTGAATAAATCTCTATTCTAACTAGTGATTTCAAAGTCTATTTTTCATTAGATATGGGCAAGAGCTAGATTACAAAAGCTAAATTAAGTTGTGATTACATAAATGGTATCAATAATTTTCTAGAGTTTGCAAGTCCAAGCCAAAATTCATCAGGATAGATTATATATCCACACAAATCATGTATTAATAGATACTTCCATTCAATGAAAGATGTTAAAGATCACGTAATTTCTAAAGGATATTTTGCTAGATATGTTGTATGGAATCGACATGAGGAAGAATAGTAAAATAAAAAAATTTTGTGTGTTATATATATATATATATATATATATATATATATATATTGAAGTCAATATGAATCAACGAAATGATGATGATGAAAAATTTAAAAAATTAATGCAGGATGTAGGAGGAATGTTGTACCCTAGGTGTAAATCATTCTCAAAGCTATATTTCATTATGCTCTTTTTTCATTTGAATTGTTTGCATTCTTAGACTTTAAGATGTTACTTGAGTTATTAATCAATGCTTTTCCCAAAGGAGCATTATTGCCTAAGAATACGTATGAAGTGAAGAAGATAATGAAAGCATTTGATCTTAGATATATAAAGATTGATGCATGTCCTAATGATTGTATGTTATTTTGAAAAGACATATCTAATTAAGAGGTACATCATATTGGCCTAATATAGTAGGAGGAATGTTGTACGATGAATCTTCATATCATAGTCTTTTGTTAGTTCAAGCCACCTTCTGTGCCTTATATTTAATTCCTTCTTAGTCATGATATACTTTAAACTCAAATGGTTAGTAAATATCTCACATCTAACCTCATATAAATAACACTTCTACATTTTTAGAGTAACGGAAGAAAAAAATAGACTATTCAAGCAAAACCATTGTATGAAAAAGTGATTGAGAAGAACAATAACATATTACTCATAATATTAGAAAAATCTACAGTGTCTCATAACAAATCTAAAAAATCATAATACAAAATAAGTAATAAAACTAAAATTGTAAACACAACACACTAAGATACATATAATAAAAATTAAACAAATCACATCAGTTTTCCATAAGAGATCACAGCCCTCAAGCCCTTATCCCATCCACCAAATATTAGATTTTATAATTCATGCCCTTAGAACTCCCAATGCCAGTATATTAGATAATTGGTTATAATAACTCCAATGCTTAATACCACAATTTTTAAGAATTTGAGGCCCTCTCATTCAGATATCAAATTTAGAATGTTAGGCCCTTATAGCTCACAACACAGCATATCAAAACTTCTCTAAATCACACATTTCAGATATATAAGCACAAAAATAATTGTATAGATATAATAAACATTATCAAATTTACGACATAATTTCACTGAATGCTCTTGTTGTGGCAAATATATAAAATGTTAAAGTAAACCAGCACAGATTTTCACATTTTTTTAAATCACAAACAAATTACTACACTATATTCATAGTTATGTTTTGAGATTTTTTTTTTTTTGTTTATAATATAGCACCATTTGAACCCTTAAGAACATTTTCTGGCTCCGTCACTGTTCGTATAAGAAGTGTAAATTATAATAAATTTGGAAGAAAATTTACCACTAATAACTCCTTAACCCAATTAAATTTTAATGGCCAAAAAATTAAATATCTCAAAAAACCGAACAAATTAGTGGGAAAGTAAGACATCTCAAATATAGAGTAAATTATTCTTACAAAGATGCTGTATGAAAGTTAGTAATCAAAATTTTGTTTTACATGACAGAAACATTCTCGGAGGAAAGTTAACCGCAAGATCAATGATTCCAAACAATTCAATTAAACTAATTTGCTTTTATGTTATTTAATTGCTTTCGTATTTCTCTGATTTGAAGAAAGGAACTAATTAATCAGAATAGTTCCCACTGCAACCCTCGGCCAGTTAGAAGCTGAAAAAAGAAAAAACTGTTGCATTTACAGGCCGTTATTTATATGAATTTACATCACAAGATCTAAAATAATAATCAAATTAAATTAATCACCTCATTTATTGATTATTACAAGCATAATCCTCCTCACGGAGAAGGCGGCACCGGATCAATCACCACTGCTCCCTCTAACATCTGCGTTACTTGACCCATCGTCGGCCTCAAGGCCGGCTCTTCTTGCACGCACCACAAAGCCACCATCAGAAACCTCTCCACCCTCCCCATATCTGCCATGGCCTCCTCATCTCCCTCTGCAAGAGCATCAATTCTCCCATCATTATAACAATCACTTACCCAAAAAGTAAGAAGGGCCTTCTCTTCCTCCATCTCCTTCTCCACATTCCTCCTACAAAACAAAATCTCCAAAACCATAACCCCGAAACTATAAACGTCCACCTTGGCACTTATCGCTGAGTTCCTGAACCATTCGGGTGCAACGTACCCCTTCGTTCCCCTTATTCCTGTGTTCGTCCTCGTTTGATCTGTTTTCAGAAGCTTTGCGAGCCCAAAGTCTGAAATCCTTGGATTGAAGTTCTCATCAAGAAGTACGTTTTGCGGCTTTATGTCGCAGTGAATGATCTGTGTGCTACACTCTTCATGCAAATATCGAAGGCCCCTCGCGATCCCGAGAATAATTTCCACTCTTTGTTCCCATGGTGGCCGAATTCCGCTGAAGAGGTAGCTTGCAAGGGAGCCTTTACTCATATACTCATAGACAAGAAGCCTCTTCATGTCTTGGTTGCAGTAACCAAGGAGACGCACAAGGTTCTTATGGTGAGTTTGGCCGATAGATTTCACCTCGTTAGCAAATTCCTTATCAATATCTGGCTGGAAGTCGCGTAGCTTCTTAACAGCTAGGTCGGGGGTTCCGGTGAGCTCAGGACCAAGATATCCTCTATAAACCGTGCCGCATGCTCCTCTTCCGAGCTCTTCACTGAAGCCTTTGGTGGCTTCCTCGAGCTCTTTGTATGTGAATGCCTTAAGATTCGGCCCCAAAACGCTGTCGTTAAGTTGATGGTTCTGTTTCCTTTTGCTTTTGCGAAGATAAATGAGGGTTATAGATAAAATGATGAAATTTAGTACAACGGAGCCTGCGAGAACTATTGAACCGGGCAGGATCCAAGTTCTCTTCTTGGTACAGTGGGAGCTTGGTAGGTTATCGTTGTTACTTACTTTGATGAAGGCTACTCTGCTTACATAGTTCCCCTTCCTCCCATTGGAGAAAGGAAACTTCTTTTTCCAGCAATTGCCTATTCCATCGTGAATCGAAGCCGCGCAGAAGCAATCATCTAAACACTGTTGTTCACAATCCGCCTCATCCATGGGATTGAACTGGTCATAATCTTCAATGGGGAAGTCGAGTTTCTCTATTCTCACCATCTGAAACCCCTCACTCGGCACTCCAGAGATACAGCTAGGCATGGTGAAGTTGGGCTTGCATCCCATATAAGTCCTGTTCGGGTCGACCCATGAATAGCCCACCGGGCACTGACAGGCGACCATCTGCTTCGTGTCGTAGCCGCAATAGCTGTTATACCCGCAAGCTCCGCTTCCAGGCGATGTAATTAAATTCTGGCAGATGTCTGCCGGCTTAAAATCCATGAGAAGCCACTCGGCCGCACCGCCGGCGACGGTTGTCTGCTTTGGGTAAATATAGTGACGAAAGACTCCATCGTAGTCGAGAGTTCCTCGGTGGTAGTAATCTGAGGTTGATTTCATCGTTGCTGAGGTCAGAGTTGATAATACAGAGCCGTTTGGAGAGATTAGGTCAATGCTTCCTGAAACGTTGAAGATGAGCCTGGACAAGTAGGTAGAAAAATGGAAAAAATTATATTAAAAAAAATCGATAGGAATTAAGAATGCAAAGCAAGGTTTTATGTAGATTTGTTTTCCTGTCTAATTTTATCTCTTTTTTTTTTAAAACAAACATTAAAGTGTAAAAAAATATTCAGCAACCTTTTTGCGTTTACTTTCTATTTTTAAAAGCAAAATTAAATATTTAACTTCATGAAAGAAACTTCATATGAAAATTTTTACATAATATTCTAAAACATGTCTAGAAGTGATAATATTGTTTAATTGAGTTAATTAAAATAATTGGTTATTAGATAAATTATTAGAGATTAAGATATAATGATAATTAATTTAAAAACTATACTTATAACCGAAAAATCATATAAAATATTTTATATTTATTTGAAATTTAATTAAATTAGTAAAATTTTGTAATATTTATTGATAATAATTAAGATTTGAATTAATAATCAATTCAAAAATTTGCAGCAAAATTATCAAAATAAAAAAATAATAAGATTTAGATATATGCATTAAAGTTTTAGAATATTTAATAATAATAACTCGATATGATGTATTGAAATCATCAACTAATTAATTAATTAATCATATTAAATTATGGCTATCATTTTGAATGCTTAATGAAATATTAATTATAATTTAATAATTAGCCCTCTTATATTCATGAACTACACTCTAAAGTACTACATAAATAAAATTTATTCGAACTAATTTTATTTGAGATAAATATCAATAAGCAATCCACATATATGAAAAGGATAATTTCATAATAATAATAATAATAATAATAAATTTAATTGTATCATAAGACAAAAATGGAAGAATATTTAAAAAGAGAAGAAACTCTTTTAATTTAGTTAAAAGAGCTTAATAAATATTAAATTTAAGAATGAGCAGTCCGTAAAAAAAATTACGCTTTCTTTCTTTAAAACTGTAAGAAAAATTTTTCTCGTTCTTTTAATTTAAAAATAAAAATTTTAGTTTCTTTAGAAATTATTTTTTTTTTATAATTAAATCAATTTATACTAATATAAATTTATTTAAAAAATAATATATTTTTGTGTTTATATTTTAATAATAAAATATTTTCATTATACAATTAAATCATAAATAAAAAATTGATTATTTGATTTCGGGAATTCATTAGTTGAATCTGTGCCTCCATTATGATTCAATTGAACTAGAAAAAGAGCAGGTTGTAAGGGATAAGAAATACCCTTACCGGGAGTTCGCCATCAGGGAATTGGCGGCCCAGTAGGAACTGTACTGGTATCCGGTGGGTACAGCGATCTGATAGAAGACGAGGTTTCCGTTGTTCTGCATCCGTAGCTTGAACCGGCCGTTGCTGAAATCATCGTTGCTCAGCTTCGCCACAATTTCCGTTCCAGGGCTTAGGGTTTGTGTAGGGAGAATGGTGTCTGTCGGGTCTGAAAAGCTATTCCAGAGAATGGAGCTGTCAGAAGCCGCAAGAACGAAGTCGCCGGTATCGAGCATGGCGGCATAAGAGGCTTTCGGAGCACCGGGGTTCCAAATTTCGGTTCCGGTGGGATCTCGAAGGGAGAGTTGTCCATCTGAGGTGAGGATGACAGAGGAATTGGGGGGAAGGGGTTTGTCTCGATTTGGGGTCCATATGAGGGTTGTGGTGTTGGGGAGATTGGCGAACCAGATGGCGAGGAGGAAGAGGGAGGCGTTGGTTGGTAGGGGGACGAAGCCGAAGGCAAAGTCACCGGAGGGGGAGAGCCAGGAGAGGTTTCTGGCTCCGGCGGTGGTGGTGGTGAGAAAGGAACTTAACGTTATGTTGCTGTGTGGCTGAGCTGCGGCGACGGTGAAGGCGATGATTGTGATGAGGAGGAAGAAGAAAGGTGTAAATTCCATTGAAAGGGCTGAGGAAATGGGAGTTGGGTCGTGGCTTCGATGTTAGAATTTTATTAGAGAGCGGTCGTCGAAGACTTTTATGGAAGGTTGAGTGCCTAACCTCGCTACAGCTTATTATTTAAGAAATAATTCTCACCTAATGACCTTCGCCATTCATCCTGTTCCCTTATTTAATGAAATGTCAGGCATCATAATACAATGAAGAAAATAGATGATAAAATAGTTTTTTTTTGTTGGATCAAAACAACTAAACAAGGAGAAATTTTTTAAATGACAATGCTTGCTATAATGTTTAAATGATAGTTGATAAGAGTGACCTGCTCCCTCTTTTTCTTTTTTATGTAAATATAAGCTAATTTCTTGTTTCAACGTTAACTGCTATCGTTAATATGCATTATAACAAAATTATAATGTTATTCCATTATTATATTTCCATTCCTTTATATATATAGTTTTTGTATTTTTATTATTAAAGTTGTTTTTATAATCATAGTTTTATTAACATTTTTTAGAAGTTGTGTTCAACCTCGTCTGATCTAAGGGAGGATCCCAGCTTTGCTCAGGGTGGGCAAATGCCCACCATAAATAAATAAATAAATATATATATTGGAATGGCTATTTTCGATACTTTCATCAAATAGTATTTTTTGCTCTAATTTTATCAAACCTGCCATCATCTGTAGTCGCACGCACCCCAATTTGGGAAATGCAACCCTTTCGTGAAGCCCTCCTCTTCGTAGTCTGTAGTAAGCAGCCCTCTCTCTACTGGCACTTGATAACCCTCTTATTATGGCCAATTGCATACAACATACTCGCTTTCTCAGCGTCCGACCTTCTTCTTGTAAATGAAATCTGTATTTTTTATTTATGTGTATTAACATTCCAGGAAAATCATACTCCGGGTTGTTGAAGACTTCAAATTAGATCAGTTTAGAATTTATTGTAAATGAAATCTGTATTTTTTATTTTATTAAGTATAGAGAGTGTGGTTGTAATTGAGTAACTATGCACACACACACTGGGAGATAGTTTAAAATTTGTAATTTTTTAAATTCATCGTACTGTACGAAGTCATTTCGTACGAGATGATTTGCTCAGTTATTTTTCCCAGCGAGTAGTCAAACGAATAGAGAGTATAAATTTTTTTCAAAGTATTGGTCGTATTGTACGATATAATATTCGTACGTACGCCATCCAGGATATGAATTAGACGGGTCCCTTTTCGTCCCGACGAACTTGAAAATTTCTTAATGGTTCGTACCGTACGATGTCGTCATCGTACGTATGCCATCCAGGGTACTAAATTATGGGGTCCCTCTTCTTCCCGATGAAGATGAATAATTTTCTAACTGTTCGTACAGTACAAACTGGGCTTGCACTGGACGATCATCGTGTACGAAAACATTTCGTACTGATTCACATAAGATTTTTACACAATAGTTTTTGAACTGTTCGTACATACGAACATGTTGCAACTTGAGCTTATGAGTTTATGTTTTTGATGATAATAAATATTATGACTCACTTTCTGTTGTCTGCTTGTATTTATAATATATGTTTGTTTGTGTGTATACTAATTTTTCAGGATTACAATGCACCACTCAAAACTCAAGTTTTGATAGAACATGTTTAATTTGTAATATTCATTGATGTAATTTTGATTTCTTGAGTCAAGTCCTATAAGGGAGTATGCTTGCTTGGTGACTATGCACACACACAACTCAAGGGAGTGAGATCTAGGCAAATCCAGATAATCAAATTTTCAACTAATTGTACTGGATGATTTTGGATCGTCTAGGATGATCCTTTATGATATTGGAAAATAGCCATCAATGCTAATTTAGGCATGATCTTAAGTTTTAATTTTTGTTATAATTGTCTCGGACGATCTTGATCTTCCAGGACGATCAATACAAATCATGTCTAAATTGATCATGCGATTAGGGGATTAATTACGGTTAAATTTTGCAATCGGATCATCCTAGAGGATTTGTATATCGTACAGGATGATGTTTACTGACATACTTGATTTTCCTAAATCGTCAAAGACGAAATATCATAATTTTTCTTCTAATCGTCCCGGACAATCCACAATATCGTCATGGATGATCTGTATAATTTTGTACTGATCGTCATGGACTATCCTAATATCATCAAGGACTATCAGGTTAAATTCTACACATCGTACTGGACGATCCTGTGCTCGTTCATGATAACTTTTGGCATCGAAATTGAGTTTTTAGGATTTTCTGAAGCCCTCTTTTTAAGCGCATCGTACGGGACGATCCTGCGATCGTCGTGGATGATATTTGACGCCGAAATTGAGTTTTTAAGGTTTTTAGAAGCCCTCTTCTTAAGCATATCGTACGAGACGATCTGGCGATTGTCCTAGATGATAATGTCGGTTTGGTGCATTTAAGAGTCTTTTTGGAGCTCTTCTATTTAAGCCTTGTCAAAGACTTTGAAAGTATCTTTGGCAGCCATTGAGGCTTCGTTTCTTCTAGAGAAAACTTGAAGAAAGAGCTTGAATGGGAGAGAGGAAAGGGTGGAGTTTGAGAGAGGGTGAAGATCCTTGGAAGGGGTTTCATGGGAGTGTGGAGGGCATTTCACACGGTTGGTTCGGCAAGCTTGCGCCTTAGTACCGTCGGATTCAAGGCTCGTCTTGAGGAAAGTTTTGAGAAGAAGAAAATATCTTTGGTGTCAAAGGACCCAGCTACTCCGCCGCTCCGGGGAAGGTGAAAGTGATTTTATAAGGTTTTCTCCGCCTAGCTGTGGGGGCTAAAGGAGAGACATCGAGTTTAGTGCGATACTCGGAGGGTGCCTCCGAGAAGTGGACGTAGGTCAATGTTTGACCGAACCACTATAAATCTGGCGTGTTCTTTCATTTATTATTTATGCATTTAATTTTTATACTTGATTTTCTTAGTAGTGAATTTTGGTTTGGTTTAAGTTTTATTTTTGATCGTAAAATATTTTTAAAATTTCAAGTCACCCCCCACTTAATTAGCCTTGGGCTAGTTCATAGGGGCTTAACATCGCTAATGAACTTTCAGAACATACGATCATACTGTACGATCATGTTCCTTCAAAATTAAAAATTTTAGTTTTCTGGACGATTTTTCATGTCTTTGATATAAAAGGTCCACTAAAACTAACATGAAAAAAATATTATCTTCGTGATTTTCAAGAGCAAGTGAAAGAGAGAGTATGGGAGATTGTTTGAGAGATATTTTTTACAAGTTAAGTGTGAAGGATTCACAAGGTTACTCAAAGGTAAGGATATTTTCATACTTTTGGTGATTACTCTTATTGTCTTCTTTTTAGTTGCTCGTGAGAAGATCTTTGAAGAATATCTGATACTCTGCCGACACTTGGAGGGTATGAAAAGATGATTCTACTCTACCTACACTTGGAGAGTATGAACAGACGATGGTTCTCTGCCGACACTTGGAGAGTGTGAATAGATGATATTTCTCTGCCGACACTTGGAGAGTGTGAAAGGACAACGGTACTATGCCTATACTTGAAGAGCGTGAACAGATGATGTTCCCTACTAATAATTAAAGAGTGTGAATAGACGATGGCTCTATGCCGACATTTGGAGGGTGTGAAAGGACAACGGAACTCTACCGCACCGGGGATTGGTGAAAGAGAGGTTTTTGTAAAGGCTTCAATGCCTTGTTGTGGGGAAAAAAAGAGAAACACTTTAATAATAGCGCAATACCTGAAGAGGGAGTCTTCATGAAGTGGATATAGGTCATGTTTGATCGAACCACTATAAATCTTTGTGTTTTTTAATTTCTGCATTTATTTACTGTAAGTTATTTTCTATGGTTGAAAAGTTTATTTTAAAACCTAAATTAACTTGCAACAAGAATCAACATTTTTCTATTTAAAAATTCAAGAGAATTTTTTAAATTACCATTTTACCCCCCTCTTGGTTAGCCTTGGGACTTTAGCTTAGGTTTAACAACCTAATCAAATATCAATAAGTGGTATCAGATCATTATTTCAATATTATAAGTTTAAACTATTTTTTAAAAAATGAGAATGACTACTTTTGGAAACTGAAACACACCTGAAGGGTATTCGATCACTAGACCTTTGTTATTTGATAATATCCCTTTCAATTTTTGGAAAACACGCATGTCTAAATTTCAACAATCACTTAATTCTTGCATGTGGATTTTAGTTCAAGAAGGGTATACTAGGCCAACTTTATTAGTTGATGGCATTTAGAGTAGAAACACCCTTTGATGAATGTACAGTAGAAGAATTTGACTTAGCATAACTAAATGTAAAATTTTAAATGGTTTCTTTTGTACGCTTAAGTCAGAAGATTACATGCGGGTTTTTACTTGTAAATATGAAAAGAACATTTGGGATAGACTTTATATTACTTATGAAAGGACTAATGAAGTAAAATAATATAGATTAAATATCTTATTATATGACTATGATTTATTTCGCATGAAACCTAATGAATCTATTTCTGACATGTATACATGATTCACTCAAATAATTACTTTTTTACATGCATTAAGTAGGGAACTAACGAATGCTGTAATAATCAATAAAATTCTACGTTGATTGCCTATTACTTATAATACTAAAATAACTACAATTATAGAGTATAAGGATTTAAATAGTTACTATATTGATAATCTTCTTGTATCACTAATTGCTTATGAGTAAGGAATGAGTTAAAAAAAAGATTGATGCTGAAGAACATAAAAAGGAGAAGAACATAGCACTGAAAGCAGATGATTTGGAGAGTGATCATTCACTACCTGAGAATGAGGATGACATTGCCTTGATGACAAGACAAATCAAAAGTTTTCTTAAAGGAAGTAGAGGAGACGCCATCAATGGAATAGAGGTAAGTTTAATAAAAATATTAAAATTTATAATGATGTGATTTGCTACAAATACAGGAGATCTGGACATATAAAATCAGAGTACCCAAATCTAAAAGCCACTCATAGCAAAGAGAAGCTAGAAGAGAAAGCAAATGTGAAGAGGGGAAATAAGAGATTTCAGAGAGCTTTTTAGGCGAACTCAGCTTTGGATTTATCAGAAATAGGAAAGGAGGAGAAAGTCACCAATCTGTGTTTAATGCTTGATAATCTTAATTAGTCAGAACAAGAAGAGATATTTG